ATTTGTGAGATTTGATTTTATATTTTAATAAGTATCTTCCGAAGTCAGTCTATGCCAGGTAGTCCCAGATAACACTTTGAGGAACCCTCCCTTTGATACCAGGAGGCAGTGTGTCTAATCCTCCAGGGGCCTCTGGAAGTTCTATTGGCGAACTTAGGCAAAGGTGGTCAGGAATAACTAAATCATTATATCACTTTTTAGCATTTTGGGGCCTCAATTTCAAATCTGCAAAAATGATAGGAGTATCTCCTCTGCCTATTTCCTAATAATTCCATCTCATTTATTACGTATCCGGACTTGGGCTCAGTGCTTAAGATACGAAGATTAATACGTCAGGACTGCTGTGCTCAAGAATCAAGGACACGCATAGAAAAATAGTTGTACTTATGATCCGAAGTCCATGTTCATATTTCTACTAGTAATACTATTCCATTTGTATATAATATTCTTTGGTATTTAGGATCCATGCAAATCCTCTAAAAGATACAAAAGTATTTGAGATGAGGAAAGAAAACCTGGAAAAGCTATTACTTAATGGTCACAGAGGTAAGAATACATTATACTGTATTATCAAAGCATTATGGATACCCAAAAGGGCGACACTGAGTTCTGCTGAGGCACAGGAAAGGACAGCGTTTACCCACAGAGGAGGTGCGCGTAGGCCTCACTATGGCCCGCGTCAAGTTCTCCAGACAGACATGGGATACGAAGGGACAGTATAGTAATGACTGGAAAGGGGTTGACCTGCTGTGCGACAGTCCCTCTCACGGTTACGGTGGGAACCACTGACAGCGGAGATGTGAAGTTAAAAAAAAAAAGACTAGATATGAAATTACTGCACAGTCCTAGTACTGACGGATGACTATTCTAATATGACTAGGGAGAGAACAGCCGCTAAGGAACACTGCTCTGCTCTGCTCAGGACGCGAAAGCAGTGTCTCCTGCCACACCCAGTGGTTTGTGTAAAATTTTCTGAGGACTGATTTTATGGCATAATGACTCCAATAACGGGTCTCATGGGTACGATAAAACGGCCTCTGGGAACACCAAAGGCCAAATGTCCTCCTTAACCACAAAGAGGAAGCACCGTAAAAGGACTGTCCTCCTTTCAGGGGACCCCAAGGGACCATCTGGCCTCACACAGATTTAAACCCATTCATATGAGCTTCTCTCAGAGGAAATTATATGGGCTTTGTTTTTATAATACAGGAAATTAACTTGACAGCAGCCCCTGCCATATAAAATGTGCCTCCTTATACCCATCCGAAGTGTTTTTCACCGAGGTTTAAATCCACTTCCTCTCA